CCTGTCAGGAAAGAAAGGGGTCTGACAAACTTTCACACTATCAAATCCTGAGTTTGCTGACTTTTCTGGTGACATTTTAGAAGAGCACAGCAGCGAGAAGGCCACATGAGACGTTAAGGAGTAACAATTCCCAATACCATTTTGGGCATCAGTTATGATCTATTTCAGGAGGAGCAAAAGAGCACCTTCTATTATAAGTAGCACATTATTTATTCTGCCTAAAGGAATACTTACAGCTTGCATATTACTCTTTTCCTCCCCCGCCCCCAGCAACCCCCACATACACCATGTGCAGTATAAACTCTTGTATCACTCGTACATGCCTTGAAAACAGGGATCGTGTCTCCACCGCTGCAACATACTCAGCACCTTCATACAGTGTTTTGCAGGTAAAGCGTTCATTGGAATGGGTACATGTCCTACATAGAATTTGAATCCATAATCATTCTCCCCCTTCTCTTGAATATTTTGAAAAATTCTGGGCCGAAAATCCAGATGACACATTTTCAGAAACCTTCCTTTTCCCTTTTGCCACTCCTTCTGGACATCCGTGTGCTTCTGTGAGTTCTGCTAGAATTGTTTGAAGAGAATGAGGAAGACAGGAAGTCGGGATTAGCTTTCACTTAGCCCAGCAAAAAAAAAAGACTTAGAGGTGACCCAGTCAGATTCATAAAGTGGTGATTAAAGGAGCCCAATATCAGCCATTTAAAGGGACTTTTCAAGCCAGTGCAACCTCCAGTTCCATCTGGGCACTCCCAACATCAGCCCACAGCCTCCCAGGCTCAAGTCCACCCCATGCCAGTCCTAAAGCCACCTTTCCGATGAAGGCACAGCAGGCAGAGAGCACATTTGCATGAGTGGAGGTGTAGGTGTACAAGCCCAGTGGCTCCAGAAGGCTACACTGTGCAGTGTTTAGCTACTTACTTGGAGGAAGGCCATTCTCACAGATTCATCTAAGGCCAATGAGGGAGCATTAATGGAAACCCTGAATCCAGAACAATTCATAAATACTGTTTTAGAAAATTATTTTCATTCATAAAGAATAGCTGGTTCTGCCAACTATCATTAACATTTTATTTCCTTTTTCTATATCATTAAAGGCAAGAGTCATATTCAGAACACTCAAAAGTCATATATGGAAATAAAAGAAGATAATGTTTTGGCAGGTTTCGTTTCTCTACCATATTATGTTCTTGTCTTTTCTGGTACAATAGTCGGACTTTTTTTCTAAACATTCCAATTTTACAGAATAAGTCATTGTTAATGTGGAAAGCAGCTGAATCATCCATCTATCCATCAATCAGTATACTTGTTTTCTTTTTTTTTTCCTATATGCTTATCATCATACTAAAATGATATTAGGAATTCTTTCCTTTAGAGCACTTTTCCCCTTCAATTATTTTGTTTGTTTCACAAGGATATAGTAAAGCTATCATTAACTTTGTGTTAGTTCAGATTCCTATTCAAAATATTGAGTCAGAAACTAGAGTCACGTGTAATCTTCCAGTATTTCAAATCTGATGCCTCCATATGGGAAGTAAACATAACATCTAGAAAAAGTAAGATAGAAAGGAAATGTTTTTGGGCCCTCAGAAAGACAAGTCAGACTGTAAGAGTTGACTTTAAAAGTTATTTGATCATCTTTTTTCAAATATGAAGAATCTAGTTTACTCCATCTTAAATATGATAACCTAAGATATTTTTTTCATTATAATACACTAACTTGTTGGGAACATATTTGATTATTTGAACCAAATGGTTTCAAGGAAAAGAAATGTAGACAGAAACAAAATATTATTTGGAACCAAACTATGATTTGGGGTGGGGGTTGGGAAGGGGCAATGACCTGGAGTCAAGAGAGCCGAAGACTGGTCACTGTGGTGTCACCATTGAGCTGAATGGCTGTTGCTTATTGGGCTTTTTATCTGCTTCAGTTTCCTCTTCAGTAAAATGAGATTCCTCCAGTGCCTAAAATCTCATTCTGAAACTCATCGACTGACCCTTTTCTTATTCTGCATCTCTTGACCCAAAATTTGTGATACAAAATCTTCGTGATAATTATGCATTCAACATCTACTCAGTAACTATTATGTGTTACATGCAATAATCATCATTAGCTCCCTAATCTTTCCCATTCTAACTATATGAAGATTATATGGGGAAAACTGTGATTTGAAAGGAAGATTTGAATTTGTTATGCATTATTTCTAAGAGAAGAACCTGGAGAAATAATTCGTCATAGACAATAGCCTCTATCTTAAAGCACTACGATATTGACCTCCAAGTAAGAAACAATATTGCTGGTACCAAATTATCCTTTTAATACATCCATGTTATAGATTCCTAGGCTACATGCTCATTAAAACACATAGTCTACCAAAACCATATTTTTAGCATTGTTAGCTTTTTTATTTTACTTTTTTATTATTTTATTTTATTTATTTTACTTTAGGATATGACTGGGGTACAAATGCTTTGGTTGCATATATTGCCTTTGCACTACCTGAGTCAGAGCTACAAGCATGCCCATCCCTCAGACAATGCATACTGCAACCATTAGGTGTGAATTTACCTATCCCCTCCTCCTCTTCCCACCTGCCAGAAACCCGATGAATGTTACTACTATATGTGCACATAAGTGTTGATCAATTAGTACCAACTTAATGGTGAATACATGTGGTATTTGTTTTTCCATTCTTGTGATACTTCAGTTAGAAGAATGGGCTCCAGCTCCATCCAGGATAATACAAGAGGTATTAGTTCATCATTTTTTCATGGCTGAGTAGAACTTCCTGGTACACGTATACCACATTTTATTAATCTACTCATGTATTGATGAGCACTTGGGTTGTTTCCACATCTTTGCAATGGTGAATTGTGCTGCTATAAACATTCAAGTGCAGATATCTTTATTATAGAATGTCTTTTTTTCCTTTGGGTAAATACCTAGTAGTGGATTGCTGGATCCAATGGTAGTTTTACTTTTAGTTCTTTGAGGTATCTCCATATTACTTTCCATAGAGGTTGTACTAATTTGCAGTCCCACCAGCAGTGTATGAGTGTTCCTATCTCTCCACATCCACTCCAACATCATTAGCTTTTAAATAGTAGCAATCATTTGAATGCTTGGAAAAGTCTGGTGAGCATGATTACATGTGGAAATTTTCAAATAGAATGTATCCAAAAATGTAAGTATATTAAAGAGTTTTCAACATGCTTTGCCATTTTTTTGTGCAGTTTCACATCGTGTCTTTACTAGTAATAACAATAAGTGGTGCAAAGATAATAGACTACACTACCATTCATTCCTCTCACCCCCACCCCCGGTATTATACAGTTTTCCAATCAACATGCTGCTAGTTTGCAAGGCATCTTTGTGATGTCAGGAGATTCTAGATTTCCTTTCAGAGACAACACATTGTAGTGTTAGGTTGAACCATAAAATTGCCATTTTTGGTCAGAAATGATTGACTCCTAGCAGTTTCATATGGAACAAGCTAAAGAGCCTTCCTCGGGTTTGAATTCCAGGCCTGAGAGTCAGCTGTGTGTCGGCTCGGGCCAGGTACTTAACTGCTGAGCCTGGTTTGTGCAATGGTAAATAACACCTACTTTGTAGGATTGATTATTAACTTAACATTGAGGCTAAGCGATGATGTATAGGAGCACTGTGCGTGGAAATAGCTAATGTTCAAGAACTAGCTAATAATACAATATTATTATAAGTAACTTAGAGATTTTCTTCCCTTTCCTTTAGCAATTTCTGCATATATGGCAAAGGTGACAGTTGCTATGGTACAGAGAAATGGAAACTATTTGTTAGGCAAGCTCAATTTTCAAAAACCCCATTAGTTTTAAAAGCCTTCCATTCCTGTCCTGCAGCTCTGGTATGTCCTAGTAAGGACACAGATAAAGTTTGACACATACTCGGAGTATCTAAATAGGAAATGTACTGAAGCAAACCAAGAACAGAATAAAAAAAAAAAAATCAAAGCACTGAGCAAACATTCTGAATTTTTGCCAGAGGAATTGGACTGCCTGAATCCCCATGACTCTTTGAGTTATTAATAGTGGCGCATTTTGCCATATTTTGAGCAGATATATATTTATATGTCATGTAGTATCTGTGCGTGGAGACTCTCAAGGCTTGATGGCCTTTTAAGAAATGTGTTATCTTGGAAGAGAACAGGCCAAGGAGGATGGCATTTTGTCATCTGTGTGGCACCTGCCACACTGTGCTCATCAAACACTACGAGAAAGACGGGCACTGCAGCCATGCCTGCGACACGGCTCCCATCTGCTCTGCCAGAAGCCATGACGAAGTCACGAGTTGCACAACAGTAGTAATTCGCAGCTATTTATGACCATTTTAACAGCGAAGGTCTAGATTAGAAGGCTGTGTTTACATGCCGTGCGGCAGAATGGTTCCATGAATCATTCTCACAGTAACTTTTGGTTCAACCAGTCAACCACATAATGAAAAAGCAACCAGTTGGTCTTGAAGCTATGATTAACAGCTCTCCCAGTTAGCCTCGACTTTCTTGAGGTTCTTCGGCATTTGAGACCGGTTGACTCCTGCCCCCAAGCACACAGCCTCCCTCCTTCTCTCTTCCCTGCCAGCCACGGCTCTGCTACACTTTCTCCACTTAGCTCAGGTCCCAAGACATCAAATAAGTCACAGGAGTTTAGGCAACTCCTGAAGAGCCCCTGTGCATATAATTCCTGTGCACATAATTAAAAGAACATATTTGAAGCACATGTTTATTTTCTCATTGTCTTGCTCCTTTGTGTGACTTCAATTAGTAACCCTGATGGCTCATTTGCATTAAAATTAGTAAAAGCCTTTCATTTGTCCATTTAAACTGACTTGAGGTTTTAGTTCATTATCACTTCCTGACAGCATGAAGGTCAGACTATTTCCTTTTGTTTCACCAGGCAGTTAATCCCCTCATTAAGGGTGATGGAAAATGAATAATTAAACATATGCCATTTTCATATTTCAGGTAATGAGAAGCCTGAAGATCCCAGAGGATGCTGTTAGAGGAAAAGTCAGGAAAGTGTTGAAGACTCTACCTCCTGCAAATATGTGAGTTTCTCTCCTTTGTCCTCATGGTAGAAAAGGTTCAGCGAAGGCTCTTCCCTTAAACTGAAACAAAACAAAGTGAAAGTAAAAGCAATAGTTGTTGGGCTAGGCTCGGACACTCATTAGCTGTGTGACTTGGGACAATGCAGCTAACTTTTTGACACTGAAGTTTTTCTCAATTATATAATAGGAATGATAACGGTAACCACCTTATCCAAGTGTTGGGAGTGTTAAATGCATAAATGAATAAACAGTGCTTACCTCAGTGCCTACCACATGGCAAGAGCTCATTAAATGTTAGCTAATTATATTAGCATTTTTGTCATCACCCCAGAAAGTCGCTTTCTGAATGCCGTGGGCATCAAGCCCCAGCAAACATTCACTTGAGACTATTCAAAAGTTCACTGTAGTCCACTGGGTCAAGGATTAAGAGTAAATTGTGTTACACCTGGAACAAAAAAAACCCATGTAACCCTGCCTCTGGGCCTTAGGGAATTCAACTTACATCAGACCTCTTCTAATTATTCTAAAAAGATTTTTTGGAGGGTGGAGGTGGCAGAAGGTAGAAAGACACAGTAGATGGGACCCAGAAGACCACAGCTGGTGAGGGAAGGTGAAGCCACCCACAGCAGGCTCCACTGTGCACTCTGAGTTCCTGCCACCAACCCCAGGCCCACCGCCTGTGTCCTTCCTCTGCTTCTCCCTCACAGGAAGCCGGCTCCTCCAGGGCGTCCGAGTCCTGTTCTGCTGAGACTGGTCAGGGGCCATCTTTGTACGTGGACTCTTGTCTCCTCTGACCATGTTTCAGCGGGACCTTCAGCTCATGCTGACTAAAAGTAGACTCAGCCCTGCTACAGAAATCCCTGCCCCATTAGGAACTACCTAAGGGTCTAATTCCTTTCGCTGTGTCAGGCAGCGTAGTAGACTGTACAAAGTAGGGGCAGCACCCTTCCAGATGCAGAGGTGAGGGAGGGAGGTCTCAGCTGAGTTTGGAAAGCTGCCTGGGATTTGGGTGATGGAGTGAAAGGGGGAGGATGTTTTAGGTAAGTGAGGGGTAGGAGCAAAGAGCAAAGTGCAAAGGGTCAGAATGTACTTGGAACAGGACATCTTCTGTGAGGCGGAAACAGGCCGTGTGAGGGGGTGAAGGTGGCTGGGGCTGCTCAGAGAGACGCGAACCTGGCCAGGGAAAGGGAAATCTGAGGGTTGGATCAAGGTGTTGGACTTTATCCTGCTGTAAATACAGATGGGGGAGGGTGGAAGCAGCGTTTTACCAAAAAAGCATGCAGTGCTGTGCAGGCGGCGTTGGTGAGGATAGGCTTGATGGGAGGAAGATTAGTCAGGGCTCTCAGACCTCAGGTTATGGCAACCTGGGAAGGAAAAGGAAAATAAAAATGCCTGAGGGTGGCTCTATGATTCTAGGCATTGATTCTATGCAAACGGAGCAGAAACCAAGGCTCAAAACTAAATCTTGAAATGTGTTCTGTCATTGCTTTACCTCAAATAGTCAATCCTAGTTGTATTTTTGTGGGGAAAATATTTTGCCCTTTTTAAAAAAGTTCTAGTAAGAAGCAGCTTTAACACTGCTTCCAGAAGAATAAACGTCACAGGAGAAAGTGAATTGAGTGTGTGCTTGAAAGAATGACAGAGAGTGCTGATGTGTTTTGAAAGAGCACACATACACCCCCACACACACGTGAACTGATGGTTTCCACGATAAGCACAGTCTCACAGCTACTTTTTCCCTCGTCAGTACTGGGAAATACTTTCTAGATCTTCTCATAAAAAAGTAGAAAAATAGTCTAATAATTGATGCATTTAGCAAGTTGTATAATTTTTCATTGAAAAACTGATATCATAGTTAGAAAATTAAATCTAGGAGAGAATTTAAATGTCCTTTTATAATTTTACAGAAAAATCAACAGGACAAGAGAGTAAACAACTCACCCAGAGTCACCCAGCTGGTGTGGACCAGATCCACTGTGACAAGGTAAGTGCTTTGACTCTCAGCCCAGTGCTCTTTCTGCTTTGCCATGAGAGTTCAAAAAGACCAATTCACAGTTGAAAGAAAAGAGTTGATGTTTTCCATTTTCTCTTTCTAAAGTTAAGAGCTGTTTTATTGGGTAAATTCTTCACATTTTTTCCTACTGCATTTTTCCCCCCTGTTTATAGAATTAAACAATTAGCTTTGTGGTAATCCTTGTGTTGAAGATACCTTAGTCCAGGGGTGCAAGTTGCCTCCTGGGAGAGACGGTGGGTGCACGTGGAAAGTGCAAATTTCTAGGCAGCCGGGCTCCCGGGGCCAGCCCTCTTGACTGGTGTTCTGGGTAAAGTGAATTCACAGAAAAGAAAAAAAAAAAAAATTCACAGAAAAGCATCAGCAAATGCTGGCTCTGAACCTGCCATGCCCACACCGACTGCCACCCCGGGACTGTCACCCCAGGCCCTCGAGTGGAGCTTCCCAGGAGGAGTCTGCGGGCTCACTCTGTGCCCCTCTCCCCTCTGTGGGAGCCTTTCCTGGTCTGGGGGGAGGCCCTTCCCCGCAGAGCAGCCCTCAGCCTCCATTCCCTTGCTCTCTCTCCTCCTCTGTTCCCTACCTTTCCTGGGAAAAGTTTAAAAGAAAAAAAAATTCATTGCATCAGAGCATGCTTCTTTTCCTTTTCCTCCAACTTCTCTTTCTCAGTCTCTGCCTCTCATCCAGGGGGAAGTGCTTCTCCGGGCCCTGGGTAAACACCCTTGGGGGCCCTGCCTCTGCAGCCTTCCCTCTGTGGCACCTCCCCCCAAGGCTTGCTTCTTTCTGCACTGGGGAGGGGTGGCCAGTAACCTCGCAAAAGGGCGCCACACACCGCCCCCCCCACACCACAGGCCACACCCCCCCCACAGGCACAAAAAGCTCGGCACACGGAGAGCCACAGAGCAAAAAAAAAGAGACACACACACGAAAAAGCACACAGAGAAAAAGAGAGAGCACAGGAGAGACTCTGAAAAAGGCTCTAATTTTTAGCACAACCCAATAAAGTACTCAAGCAGCATGATTTTCATTGGGATGTTGTTCCATTAAACATAGGGCAATTAAGAGATCTAGCTGGATGTCTGGCTTGATGACATTTCCATTTCGAAAGCTGAGTCAAATGGAAATACGGTGATAGGTGGTAAGTTTCTTAAGCTCAAGTCTCTCCTTTACATAATATCCATGTTAATTTTTCCTGTAACCTTTTAACTTTTCAGAGAAAACCTTTTTCTCTTATGACCATCTTAAGTTTTTAACTTTTGACTCATCAGATACCTATTGCTATCACCATGCCTTTGCTCTGTGTATTCCTTGGAAAGCCGGGTGTGGTGAAGCTACTCGATCTTCTAAATCCAGGCACTCACCTCATTTTCTTTTCTTTCTTATAGTGTTTCTTAACTTATGATTCTTAAACTAACTCTGGAATCATCTGGTGCTTACTTACATTGAATTTAGCATCAAGGTTGATTATTTAGTCAATCCTTGGGAGGAAGTATTAGATGCCAACTATACACCAGGAATGTTCTGAGTGTTGAGAAAATCGTGGTGAATAAAAGTGCTGTGGCCCTTGGCAACTGATCACATGGGCAATAATCAACTGATCATATAACAAATACATAACTGAAACCGTGGTAATTAAGATCAAGGAAAAATATGCTTAATAAGTTAAAACCTAACCTCCAGTGGTCAGTTTGATCAGTTGGGATTCTGTCTGTGGAAGCTTATTTCATCCTACAAAAAATCAAAAGTTGATGAAAATAAGATAAATTATGTTTTACGAACACATTAATTACAAAGAACTGTAATGTCTATATTTCACTTTCTGCCCCACACTCCTGCCCCTTTCTTGTGGTCACAAAGCCCACTCCAATTGTCAGAGATGGTCACATGATCCAAAAGAGGTGAATTTGAATCCTTCTCCAAGATTTTTCTAAGTGGGGCCGTGGGAAAGTTTTTCCCTTGTTGGCATGGAGAGGAGTGACTGTGAGTCCAGGCTGCTCTTGTCCACGAACATGCTCCTTTCCCCCAACTTTTCTCCTGTACTTCTGAAGGCAGACAGAATGAAGCCAGCATGCAGGGAGAGGCAGGGATGAGAGACAAACACAGAGAATCCCAAAGTCGGAGCTTCTAGCTTCAGACATACCTCAGGCCAGTCCTCCATGGCTTTTTCCATGGTTGGGATACATAGGAGACTTAAACCACATTCCCAGCTTAAATGAGTTTGAGTCCATTTCGGTCACTTGCTAATAATAAGTGCATGTTCATACAGAAAGCAAGCACTTAATGCTGTAAATATTTCTTAGAGTGGATTACTACATGTGGCTGGACTGCCTGGACATATCTTAAAATGAACCCACTGAGGTTCTGGTTTTCTTGGTTAGTCTCCTTGAAGTAATTCTTCATAACACCAAGTACCCTGATTTTTGGTTTAGAGTTGGAGGTAGGGGTGTCAGCCTTGATATTCTTCATTGTTGATTCATGTTCGATAAAGATTCTCCCAAAGTTCTTGTGGGTGAATGCCCAAGCCAAGCACCATAAGTCAAGATGCACCATGCTTTGTCTGTACCCAAAGTCTGGGAATCTTGGTGGAATCAAAGTCTTACCCGTCTCCACTGACTATTGTATTGCCATTGGGGACAGGTCTATGAGACAAGGACAACATATTCTCTGCCATAGGAAGAGGGAGGCTCTCTCTCTCTCTTCTCCTCTTCACAGGACACAGCGAGGGAACTGATAGATGGCAGCCCTAAGGACACAAATTGAAGAAGATAAATTGGAGTGAACTTTCTGAGATTTTGCCAATATTCCCAGAAGAAGCAGAGGGTGTCATGCATTGAAGTTAGAGCATGAGCAAGGACCATGGCATGGCCCCTGATGGCAGCTTGGGCAGAGAGACCAGATCCCAGCAGGTGGCAGCAGTGGCAGCAGAGGCCTCTTCGTCCCCTGACTGCAGCAGAGGTGGCACAGGACCACCGTGCAGACAGGGCTGGCAGTGAAAGAATGCCGTGCCTCAGAGATGCCAGGATCGGAGCCTGGAGACTCGGGCTCAGGTGCTGGAGTCACCACACCTGGGTTAGCCTCCCACCCCTTAGCCAGTTCCACAAGGACCTATCTATTCAGATACAGTGTCCCCCAAGGAGGAAATTGGTGAAAAAGTACGTTTTTACTTTCCAAACTGCTCCTTTAAATCCAAGTGAGACTCCTAAACCAGAAAAATCGGAGCCCTTACCACCAATTGCAAGCTGGGTGTCCTTCAGAAAGACATTTACACTTTCTGAACCTCAGTTCTCTCCTATGTAAAATAGGGATAGAAATAATAATTACTTTCTAGGATTGAAGGAGGACAGAATGACAGTAGGAGACAATGGAATGCTATGCCTTGTACCAGCGAGGACCCCATGAATGTTAGGCAGACGCACGTCCAGCAGCCGGGCTGGCGGGAAGGTTACCGTGCAGGAGCGTAGCACTTGTGGACTTGCGTGATGACAAGGAATTCAAGGTGGGGGTGGCGAGTAAGCATTGCTCTCTCCAACTTGGGAACCCTGAGATCTGCTGCTACTAGTGGGCTGTGGATGGGGGAAAGAGGCAAAAAGCAGGGAGAGTAACCCAAATGCTGCTGAGCTCCTCAGGAACTGATTCGCGAACTGCCCATACACTCACACAAGGACCCAGATGTGCTGGCTCAACACGCTAAGTGGAAGGTAAAATATGGGGCTGATGAGGAACAACAGCTCTTTCCCAGGGACTTCCTCTCCCAGAATCTTTTGTACCCTGCACATTCCTGTTGCTCCCTTTCTGTCTGGAAGCAACATAATTCCCAAAAGTGCATCAGGTTGACTTTTTTCCTCCACATCTTTGCCAAGCCAGTATGATCAACTTTTTACTCTTTCTTAATCTGACCAATTAAATTGTAGTTTAATTTCCAGTTTCCTGACCATTTCCTGATGCTGGTGAGACTGATCATCTTTACACTTATTTAATAGCCATTGGCATTTTCTCTTAGGTTTCCATTGCTTGACGCTTACAACAGGATGGAATCATCTTTAGAATCAGTCTGAGTCCAGCATTCATTACGACCACTCATTATTTCATTTTGTTTTCTTTTCTTCTTTAAACTTCATGCCTCTGATTAATCTGTTTAATTTTAGAAATATATAATATTTCAGGGCACACATAGACTGTCTTCCTTGGGCAGATTCCTGACAATAGGTAGAATTCTTTCATCTTTTGGATTCATCATGATTCAGATATTGAAATGAAAACTAAAATAAACTTTCCAGTTTGCCTTTAATCTCAATTTGAAATCAATGTAAGATGATTGAAAATCACCTACTTGATAGTACTTTATGTTTTTGCACTTTCTAAAGAACAGACTTGGAGAAAGGATTCTGTAAAAAAGAAGTTTTGAGTACTAGATTTATGATTTAAATGTCCCCATGTGCATCCTTCTCCCAATCTCTGAGCTACTTTCAGCAAATCATTTCCCTTTTCTTTCTCCATAAATGTGGCTTTATCAGTGATTCTCAACCCTGCCTACATATTAGAATTTCTTGAAAAACTTTTTTTAAATACTGTTTTTAAAACTTTAAAAAAAAATCTTTTAAAAAATATATACCCTAAAGAGAGTTAAACCAGAATCTCTGGGGTTGGGATTTACGCATCAATGTTTTCTTTAAGTGTCTCAGGTGATTTTCATATGCATCCAAGAATGAGAATCACTGAACATGATGATCTTTGATATTCCTTCTGGCAAACATCTCTGTGATTCTAAAACATGTTGAAATTTGGGCAGTATATCAAACTCTTTAGTGATTTTTAACCTAGTAAAACGGAGACTGCATTTTCCCACACACTGCATTAGAGTTTAGAAATGGCCTAACTGGTTGGTTGGCTTGGAGAATGTTTGTTAGTGGCCAAAATCACTTTTATTTTCCCTCTCCTTCTATGGTGTTCACGTCTCTAAATGAAACATTATTCTG